GATTTAATAATTGTATATTGGAGTTAGGGAAAATAGAAGAAAAAGAAAGAAAACCAAGGCAATTTTATTTAATTAAATTAAGGTGTTGGTGGAATTTCTTCACTTAGGTAAAAATCCCATGTTCCGCTCCTCTTCTTTTTTCACGATTTCCATCAGCACAGACAACTTGTTTATAGAAAAAGTAGTTAATGTTATGTACAAATGATTGATTAAACGAGAATTGCATTAGTTTCAAAAAAAACTTAAATGTCTGAATAAAATTAAAGGTTTGCCTAAATTGTATTCTAAGGACTTAAGTTAAAAAGGTATTAATTATGATTTTTTGTAATTAATTTATATAGAAAAAAAAAAGAATAGACTTTAAAATTATTAACTACCCAATAAAAAAAGAATAGACTTTAAAAATAATATCTTGCTTTTATATTTTTCTATAAAAATTTATTATATAAGTAATACATTTAATATATTTTAACATGTGTCTTAAGGATACAGATTAGATAATTTCAAAATTAAAAAAGAATTAATTCCATAATAGAACGTATTTTTTTTTAGTGGGACAATTTAAAAAAATATATATTGTTTATGAGATTTAAAGATGTAACTCATGAAAGATGATTATCACTTAATCAAAGGACTCGGCTAGTAAGTCCGGGTGTGGGGATCGAATATGAAGAAAATTTGTGCATAAACAACTTATTTGTCCCAATGAAAAAGACAAGTTTAGATATTTTTCTTTTAATGTAACCTTATTCATCCTAAAATTACTTTTAGAAACATAATTGCTTGCCTGCTCTGATTAACATTAGAAAGCAACACAACATTATGATCAATTTACTTTTTCGTACAAATTATATTTAATCCCCCACTTAAAAGGTTGAGCTTCCCTTCTAAGGCTACTAATTATAGAAAAAAAGGAAATACCCTGTCAATCAAGGGATACTATAGGAACAATATTTTTATATCATTTTTTTAATATAATTTTTACGTGTCATTAAATAAGTAAATGTATTTAATATCATAAGTTTCACATGAATTACAAAAACCAATCATTTTAATAACACGTTAAGTTATACAAAAAAATAATACAAAAAAATTGTTCTAAATCATATTTCATACTATTAACATAACATAGTGCTTCTTTGGTGGACACTCCATAATTCATTTTAAAATTCCACTCAATGAATCTGACATTCTGGCTTCTTATAACCAATCCCTCTATATAAAGGGATAAGCCCAACAAGTCTCTCTCGTGCCTACATTTCACTTTTTTCAGTTAGCCCCTCCTGCTTGAGTACTGATCCCTCTGCAAAAATGATAAAGAATCGCTTGGTTCTCTTTTTGGTTGTGATGATGGTGAGTTCTTGCTGCATGCCTTGGCCGCGGATGATGGCTGTAGGTAGAATATTCGATCAGGAGCAGTGGCAACACCATGTTGAGAAAGGAGTAGCCACCATGGAAGGAAGAAATAGAGCAGCTAAGACCTCGGCAAAAAGCACAGACAACCACCATAACATACCCAGGCAAGACTGGGGTAACGACTCTCCCCCAGCTGATGATGGCAACGGTGATGGAGGAAGTGGGTAAACAACAGTTTTACCCATTAATACATATGTTCAAGAGTTTGTGTTGTCAGAGCATGGCTGCCCGTGCCACAAAAACTAAGTAAACGTGGCAATGGACGCCCATCTGTAGTTAGCACCATGAGACATGTTGCCCCCTTTTTGTTGTAAATTTTAGACGAAATTACTATTGAGTTTTGGGGCTGTGATTATTGCTTATCGTTTATATAACTGAATAGAAGTTTAGAATCCAGAATTCTAGATGGAGAAAATCAACAAAAAATATCTGTCATATCTTAGGCTCATCATTTTTCTCTAAATCTTGCTGGTACCCTGCAAAAGGAAGACACTACCCTTCTTTAAACATTAGTTGACCAGATTTCCGGCAATTGGTATTGAAACCTGTAACTAGTTATGCAACATTTACTGAATAATCCTAATGATCTGAAAACATGTATAAGTGCAGACTCTGCAGGTGGGTGAAAGGAGGAACTTTGGGGGTGAAACAGCCTTTACAATTGAACTTGCTGTTGATTGATTTATCTGCAGTCTGAAACATGGAATCTTCAAGTACTATTCTTCCGATGTACATTCTTTTCCCGTAGGCTAAGTTGAGCAACTTTGGCTCTTGCAGGATGCTTGGCTGGGGTAACATGATCAATCTTTGGGCTGTTAATCTTTGGGTATTGGTGAATAGTAGCAAGTTCACAGACACGGCGTCGAACAGTCTTTGGCAGGGGGCGCGCTGTTTGCTTCAAGTTGTGCTCAACCTGCAGTAGCCATTCCAAATTTCAAGCAATGATTATGGTTGAACTTGCACAATACTTTGTCAACCAATCTTCTTAGCATTTGCAGTTCAACTTATGATCTTTTCGTTACCTCAGAGAACACACACACTATACCAAGCAACTACACAAATTAAGAGATCCAAACAGTTCAAATTTGAAATGAACAATGCCAAAAGGTGCAGATTACCCTCAATGGATGGGTAGCCATCCAAAATTGTCATGTTGAGACTTGAGACAAATACCCATCAAAAAAGATATGTTGACACAATTTGTCACCCCAAATATCTACTTTTAAAAAATCGACCCAAATTTAATAATTACCGTTAACTTTCCTTTAGAGTTCAAGAATAATTGTTTAGTGCAATTTAATGGAAACCATTAAATTCATGCCAATTTCTTAAAAATAGAAATTTGGGGTGGCAAATTGTGTAGACATATTTTTTTAGGTGGTGATTTGCTTCAATGCAACAAATTTTGGAGGCAATTTGCACATTTAGTCATTATAACTACATTCAAGCATTCACAGCAAGGCTAAATTTGATTTAGCAAAAAGAATAAGAGCTAAATTTGAAGTACCGGAGACAAACCAAAAAAAAGAGGGGTTGAAAGCTAACCTCTTTCCTCTTCTGTTTATGCCCACAGCTAGATTTTACAAGATTCCGCCATTTGTCCTGGAGAGTTCTGAAATCGTTAAAAGAATCCATTTTGAAAACATGAGGAATCTTGCAATATAAAGGCAATTTTAAGTACCCTCAGATCTATAGGAGTGCGATATGTCGATGAGGAGAATAGGAGCCTTTTTATAGCAGTCCATTTCCCAACTCCATATTGAGAAATACCATCAACCAATTTAACCACCTCCTCAAGGGTCCACATCCTTTGATGCTTCCTCCTATCACCAATCAATTTAGATCGTTTTGTCGTCTTCTTGTCATCTTCATAGTCAGAGGCAGTAAGGTCATCATCAGAATGTAGCTCCTAAACAGAAAATGAGGAATTATTAGACTTTGAAGCAATTATACATAAGATGTAATGATGTGTCAACAAATTATCAGGCTCAACCTGTCCTGAAAACCAAATACTAAAGGAGATATAAGAAAAAGACAGTAACCACCAGTTGTCTTTGACTTCCTCTTCGTATTAAAGTCAAAGCCCTAAAGAGAGTTACCAGTACAGTAGAATTTTCTTGCAGGAAAAACAAGATCTAAGCTTTGAATAAACTGTGAATAAAAGTTGCAGATGGGTAAATTTTTTCCTACCAATCTAGGTACAACTTTTTTGGAACTCCCTCTCAGTGACCGTGTTTCAGATGGCACTTCAGGAAGTTCATTGTCATGTTGAACTTTCAGACGTTTACCCCTTGGAGCAGCAGAAGAGATCCTTGAAGATTCATCAATATACCTCTGAGTAGGCTTGCGGAGTCTCTTCTGTCTGAGAAGCATGCCTCCTTTGGCTAACCTTGTAGAGCCTTTTGCCTTTTTGTTAGACAATATGAGACTCACTAAAGGTTTTTCATCATCATCATCATCATCATCCAAAGATTCATGACGATTGTGCAGATTGTCTGCAGTAGGATGTGTTTCATTGGTAACTGGTGCCTCATACCCACACTCAAAATGAACTGACTTCCCAAGCAAACCATTCTTGCAGTCAGATTCTTGAACAGTTCCAATTGGTGATTCTGAAATCCCACCGGTGCTATTACTACTTCCGCTAAATCCAGGAGAAAGGCTTTCTGTACTTGAATTGCCTATATTTCGTCCTTTATGACGACCATAATCCAATTCAAAAAGTTTTTCAGGAATTTCAACATCTGCACTCAAGAAAAAACCAGCATGGAAAGGAGGAGAAATTAACACAGTATTAGTGTTAATATAAAGGCTATCACAACCTAAAAGCTAATTATACAAAACAATAAAGTTCACCCAAAAGAAAATCTTCGTCGTATGTACAAGAGAGGGCCTGGGCTGCATGAATATCATCAACTTCATCAACCTCATCTAGCCATCCATCCAGAACCTACTAAAGCAATATGTCATCAGATATCAACTACATATGTCTATGTAGCTAAAAAAAATAATAACGAACTGTCAAGTATTTTAAATTATATGAAAATTTTACATAAAGCAGTGATCAAGGAGATAATAATGTAAAAACCAACAAGTTATATGTGACATGAAAATTTTTCAGGAATGAGAAATACATACTTCAAGCTTTACGTCAGCCCCTCCTTGCATATCACAATCTAACCCTATCAAAATCAACAATTTCAGAAGAATGAAAACAAGACATATCAGGAAAATTTGAAGAGAATGTTAGAAGCATTGAAAAAAACTTGAAGCATTATGTTTACGCAGTGCACTATTTGAGGTACAAGTTGCCATTAGATGTAATTGTAAAATTTAGGAAAATTTTCTCTTAAATGGGATCATGTAACATTACAATACAAATGTTCATTTTTTTGGCAAACACATACAAATGTTCATGATTTTAAATGTTTTAAACATTTCTCAAATTATTAATGGTGAATAATGGAATTAAACAGATCATTTGAAAAAACAAAGTGGGAAGTACCTGACTTCAAACAGTTCAAAAGTAGTGGTGCAATATAAACAAAACTTGTTTAAAACGCTGAGAAAATATTCAGTGTGCCTGTGCAGATCTAGGAACAAAGCAAAATTATAGGTGAACATTCAGAAAAAGCAATGTCTTCCTTGATCCACAACACAACTCTAATTTTTTTCCCTTCTACTTCTTTCCTTTA